ATTGGAACTCTTGTGCACTGCTGGTGGGATTGTAAAATGGTATAACCATTGTGGCATATGGTATGGCATTTCCTTAAAAAACTGAAAATAGAAGTACCATTTGACCCAGCAATTCCATTACTAGGAATATATCCTAAAGAGGTGAGAGATAGTGCACAAGCAGACATATGTACACCTATGTTCATCGCAGCACAATTCATTATAGCAAAGAGATGGAAACAACCTAAACACTCATCAACGGATGAGTGGATAAGCAAACTATGGTACATGCACACAATGGAATACTATGCTACACTAAAGAACAATGAGGGCTACGTGAATCATCTCACAACGTAGATGAACCTGGAGGACATTATGCTGAGTGAAATAAGTCAATTGCAGAAAGACAAGTACTGTATGAGCCCATTACTGTATAAAGACAGAGAAGGGTTTGCTTGGGAAAGGGAACTCACTTAGTAGGTTACTGGGGTGGGGAGGGATTAATTCACACTAGTTGGTGCCCACACACTGATGCGAGTAGGTGTATGGATATATGGGAAGGATCTGTGACCACCATAACATTAGGAAATAGGAGGACACCAAATTGTGCACATAAGAGATAGATGACAGGTGCTAATACCAACCAATGTGTCCACAATACTGCATTGTCATTAACACCAAACACCAGGCTACAGATAAACACATAAACACCTGAGAGGATCTAATGGCAGTCAGTGAACAGGAGTATACTCTAGACCAAGGATAGATTCAGCTGAGGCTAATCTTGCACAGACACCAGTAATACAAAACACCTGCAGTCCTTACAGAAACAATAGAAGACAGACACAGAGTAATCCCTCACAGACAACTAGACATTATGGGAGAGAGATCCAACAGCTCTACTGTCTCAGGACCATAGTACTGGGGGACACCAGACTCAATTGGCACAACAAAATACATAAAAGCTATGCTCCATATCCTACATTGGTGAGTAGTGACTGGGGTCTTAAAAACTTTCAAGAGGCCATTTAAGATGCAGCTAATGATCTCCTACCATAGGAAGTGAAGAATGGAAAAACAAACAAACAAACAAAAGACAAAGGCATTTGGAAGCAATCAGCCATAGGACACGATGGCCCTTGAGACCAAAAGAACTAGATGGTACCTGGCTACCAATGGCAACCATTCAGGAAAGGATCAAATCTGGAGATCCTGGATAGAGTGGAAGTGAAAATGTGGAACAAAATCCAAAAACTCAATAATGACCAGAATTACTGGTCAGATGAAATCTGGTAAGACCCCTAATACTATGGTCCTGGAATACATTCTGCATCTGGAATAAAATGCACCCCCAGGGGCTGGCTCCTAGCCCAATAATTAACAAGATGTACATGCAGACCACTTAACCCAGGATGAAGCACCCACATACTCTATGGGAATACATCCCTTGGAACAATAGACCATGGGACTCCAGAGGACCAACATTCAAATTGAGGAAATGCAGGACAAACGGGAGTGCATAAATTTGAGGGGCACAGGGGGAGTGTTACAGGGTAGGGAGGGGAGGAGACTGGGTTAGGGTTGGACGTGGTAAATGGAGAGTGAAACTAAATGTACATGTAACATTGAATGTAAAACAAGCTCTTAAAAAAAAAAAAAGGGAGCTCCGGTGGATAGTGCCTAAGGCATTTGACTACTAACCAGAAGGCTGGAGGTTCAAACCCACCAGCCACTCCTCGGAAGGAAGGCTGGACAATCTACTTTTGTAGTGATGCCACTTCGAAAACCCAAAGAGGGGTTGCTGTGAGTCGGATCTGACTTGACAGCAGTGGGTTTGGTTTTTGGTATGTGGTAGAAACTGTTCTAGATACTTTGGGGGGAATCAAAGACAGATAAGATGCAACCTTTGAGGATTTTACTACTTCATAATCAATTGATTATATGTTTGAGTAAATTTTATCAGTAAATGATAATAAGCAAATATTTCAACAGATATTTGTCACACATCCACTTTTATTTTGTGTAGTTGCAGAGGATATAAATATAAAGAAGGCACAATCCCTGTGCTCAGAAAGCTTATAATCCATATAAAAGTAAAGGGAGGAGAGATGTGCATAAATTGACTGTGAGATCCTTGAAGGGCTAGGATTAAATCCCATCCATCCCTGAATAAGCTGAATGGACTCAGTGTCTAGGACTCACTACTACTCAGTGAAGATGAATGAATAAATGAATGCATGCATGAACGAAGAGTGTAGTGGAAAAAGGCTTTATAAGGAATTAAAAGTCCTACTAACATAGCTGGTTTCATCACTTATTAACAGTGTTACCTGAGACAAGTTATTCAACCTCTGAATCTTGGTTTCCTCATCTATAAAACAGAGATGATACTGTTTTCCCTCATTACTTCAGAACTGTGGTAAACATCAAATCCTTTGATGACATGAAGATACTTCATAAAACTGTGAAATGTTTAACTAGAATTATTAATAAAAGATTATTTACAAAGATAGAGAGGTAGAGAGTTGGAGAGAGAGCAGCTTTTCATCTAGATCACCACGTTTTTTGTGGAGAACTTGTTTTTTGCTTGACTGAAGAACACTTGTACATGAGTCTCTGCTGATTCTCTACTCCTATAATGTTATCTGAAAAGCCACAACAAAAGACAGACTTGTCCTCCTACCTTCACATGTTGGTGTGGAACCTGTCCAGTATCCAGATGAAGTACAATCCAACCTTTCTGGTCCAGATAAAGAAAATCCCTCATCACAGCTGAATTGGCACGTGGATTTATAACTGGAATCTCCAAGAGGTTGGACACAGGTCATTGTTCCATTCTGAGGGCTTAGCAGAGGTGTGCATGTAATAGCTACCATGGAGCACGGCACAGGAAGAGATAAGAAATTATTTTCATTTTCATCAACCCTAAATCTCTCCCTCTGTGTGTGTGTGTGTGTGTGTGTGCGCGTACGCACCATACCTCCTGAACACCCAAGGGCATAATTTGCTTTGAAATGACTGTTGGTATTCCATGGTGTGCCTTATCACCACTTAGAGGTCATGGATGTGTAAAATAGCAGCTTACAGACACCCTAAAAGACTCACCCACAAGGAGCTTGAGAGGTGATTTTAAAAAGGAGGCAGTGACCTGTTTGGAAAGATAGTTGTGCAGCTCATTCTGATTGCCCCTGAGCTGGACCAGAAGTGGCTGCTTCCTCGATACCTTGTTCACAAACAGCCCTAATGACTTGGTCCAGGAAACAGTGACAAGAGATTGGAAAAAAGAATATGGGATAAAATACTATTTTGCCTTTCTTAAACTTCTTTCCCCAACCAGGTGGTAGGAAGAATTTGGGCTCCACATCTTGGCTCTGTTATTTATTAGCAATAGATCCCTGGATAATATCCATTATCCAGAGATTCAAAGAAAGATTCTTTCTGAATATCAGTTTCTTTACCTGTAAAATGGGGAAAATAATAATCCTTGCCTTACAGGCATCCTTAGCTATATAATAATAATCTCATGAAATCATACATAAAATGACATTTTAGAATGTAATAAATTTATGGACACAAAGTAGGCACATAGTGTAATAACATGTCTGGAAATGCTAATTTCTATCTCCTAAAACCAGTTGCATCCCACAGTGATTACAGTTCAGCCACAAATGACTGAACTTCTTCACTTATTTGAAAAGTTAAACTAGGCCTCATAGTTCTTTGCCTCACTCTAGTGAAATAGAGTCTGAGGCAATAAGGAACCTGCTTTCCTTCAATGCGGTTGCACTAACAGAAGTTGTTGTTGTTGTTGTGTGACTTCAAGTCGATTCAGATTCACAGCGATTCTACAGGACAGAGTAGAAGTGCCTCATAGAGTTTCCAAGGCTGTTATCTTTATGGAAGTAAACTGCCTTATCTTTCAAGGATCAGGTGGAACAGCTGGTGGGTTTGAACTGTCGACCTTTCAGTTAGCAGCCAAGCACTTAACCCTTGCCACCAGGGCTCCTTTAGGCCATCCAAAAACTTCGGTTGACAATTAAGCTTGTAATTTAACAGATTTGTGACTTTTGGCAAGTCACTTAACCTCTCTGAGCCTCAATTTATTTACCCGTAAAATGGGAAGAATAGCATTATATAGCTCTCAGGAATTTTACAAAGCTCAAAAGTGAAAATATTCTGTAAATAACATGCAAATATTAATAGCTATCAAGATGCCTTTTTCTGAATTAATAAAATAATAAAGCTTGAATTAAATCTGTTGGCTTCAAAAAATGAAGATTAAGCAAACACCTGGTTCAGGTGTTTCTTCTTCACTGTTTGAGTTGGTTGAGCAGCATATGGTTTTAGACCAGTCTTCAGTCTTGAGTGTATGCTCTTCTGTGTCCTTTATTCCTTTCTCTCTCCAGCTACATTCCCCAAAAATTCATCAATTTGTCCAAAGATTTAGTTGCTTTTGACACTGAAACATCTTTTTGTATTCAGTTGCAAAAAGGGGTGAGTTGGGGAGGGAGGAGGGGAGACAACTCAAGGAACCTGTAAACTATAAGAGTAAATTGACGCAAAGGGTGTGTGCAAGAATCTTAGTGTCATTGAGTCCATTTCCAGTTATTTCTCTTACAGAAGTGGTGGCTGTGGAGGAGTAAGCATTAAAAAGGGAAATTGTCTGCTAGCACACTCTCAGAAGTATTACAACATCTAGCGGGTTGCAAGCATATTTGTACCTTCCTGTCCAGCCCACATTTGGGTATTTCACTTGATAGGCATTCAGCAATGAGAGGATGAGGAGAAAGTTCAGTCAGAGTAAACAAAGAACAAAAAGCAGAAGGGAACTGTAAGGTCACAGGAAGCAGTGGTGAGTAGCAACCTTCTTGCTGTGAAACGCCCATAGATAGGCCAGTATGGGGCAATGAACTGTAATCTGTGCCCTGTACAACTCAGGGCACCCCAGAAGAGGTCTGAGCACCATGATGACCAACAGCAAAGACCCCAAATCCTCCCCCAAAACAGTGTGGACTTTGTGATGCATCCAGGCTTCAATGTAGCCAGAATGAGAGCTGAGGAGGCAGGGTCACAGCCCATCACATTCTTTCTAGACCTTACTCTGAAGGTGCTATCCTTCCATCCATTGCTTTTGAGTTGATTCCTACTCATAGTGACCCTATAGGACAGGGTAGAACTGCTCCCATAGGGTTCCCAAGCCTTCAATCTTTACGGAAGCAGACTACTGAATTTTTCTTCCATGGAGCAGTTGGTGGGTGTGAACCACCAACCTTCTAGTTAGCAGCCAAGCATTTAACCACTGTGCCACCAGGCTCTGAGGGTTCACTCAACCCAAACCCTGGTGACTTGTCATACTCTTGGCTCTGAAGGTTCACTCTACCCAAACCCTGGTGACTTGTCATACTCTTGGTGCATGGGATTGAAGGACACTCCATTTTTCTGAGTTTGTTTATTCATTTGTGTGGTAGTTAAGTTTATGTGTCAACTTGGCTGGGCCTGGTTGAGTGGCTGGGCACAGGACGTAGTATTCCCCATGATGAGACTGGTTATCAACTCCATGGTAGAATCTACTGTGAGCAGCTGAGTAGCTGCCTTAGGGATGTGGTCCTCTTCCTGTATATAAGGAGAAGCCTTGGGGCATGGTATCTAGCTTATGGCATGCTTGAACCCTGCATGTAGCCATGTTGTTATTCAGCAGCCTGCCATGCTCTCCCAACCTTGGGACTTTCAGTGGACTTGAATTAATGGCCTGGTGTGTGGTTTGGTAACATCGGGACTGTGCCTTTTTACTTGTTAACCTTGAGCTTGTCAGTCTCAGCAGCCAGCAGCTGTCTGAGTGAAGAAGAGCCTCTAGCTCCAGTGGGGTGGGAGCAGGATACAGAGCTTAACCCCCAAATACAGATGACTAGAATCAATCTTATTTCATACAGCTGTTATAATATTGACAGAATACAATGGCTTTTAGATATCAAATATGGTGCGTATATAAATGCTTATACTGAATCTGTAAGCTTCTTTCTTCTGAGAATAGCATCATCTCAAGTTTAAAGCACAGTTTCTTCCTCTTTTCATCATTCTCACTTTATCCTAAGTAAGGATATTTCTCCAATATTATACAAATCTTGGAGGATGTTTGTAACTGTATACTTGTAGATTCTATCCCCCATTGCACCATTATACTCCATGGATTTTCCTTTCATTCCACTATTATACTCCATGACTCATAGGAGTAAACACCATGTCAGTCTTGGAACAGCCATCTTGCATCTATTTTCTACCTTCCGCATTTATTTCTAGATACTATTTTTAGCTTTGAGAGGCTTTCATCCAGTTCCTAGAGCCTGGCACTTTGAACTCGGACTTAAAGCCTTCAAACTGTGAGAGAATAAACTCCTGTTTGTTCAAGCATCCCATTTGTGGTATACTCCTGTCAGAGTGGCACTAGGTAACCAGAACAATTTGTTCATTCATTCCCTCACCAGTGGCCCGATTTAGTAATGGTATGCGTGTGTGTTTGACATGAACAGCAAGTGGTTCCCTCTTTGTAAAAACCATGTATCTGCTTGCTTTCATCGGATATTGAGAATCCATACAAAGTGAATAGACAAAGGTAGGCATTCAGAACAGGCATACCTCAGATATGTTGCAGGTTCTATTCCGAAACACCACAATAAAGCAAGTCACACATATTTTTTGGTTTCCCAGTCCTTATAAAAAATTATGTTTACACTATACTATATTAAATGTGCAATAACATTAAGAAAGAGTTTGAAATATTGTAAGAAATACCAAAATGTGACACAGAGACGTGATGTGAGCACATGCTGTTGGAAAAGTGGCACCAATAGACTTGCCCTATGCAGGGTTGCCACAAAATTTAAATTTGCAAAAACAGGTATCTACAAGTGCAATAAAGTGAAGCACAATAAAATGAGCTCTGGTGGCGTAGTGCCTAAGGCATTTGACTGATAATCAGAAGGCTGGAGGTTCAAATCCACCAGCCACTCCTCAGAAGGAACTCTACTTCCGTAGTGATACTGTCTTGGAAACCCAAGGAGGGGTCGCTATGAGTCGGATCCGATTCGACAGCAGTGAGGTTTTTTTTTGGTTATAATTAATTTTTTACTAAAATTGTGTATGCTTCACACAAAAAAAATTCATTGCATAGAGAAAAAATGGATGGGGAAAATATTAGGACTAATTCATACCAGAATGGTAGTATCTATTTTATGGTGGAGATATTTAAGAGAATATAATTTTGTTTCTCTACTTTCTTATTTTTCTGTAGCCTTTGTAAATAAAAGTCTTGCTTTTTAAAAATAATATTTGCCATAAATAAACCTAAAGAATTGGATACAATGAGTGTAAAAAAGAATGAGGAGTACAGAAAACATACATCTATCCTTTAATCCCCAAATACAGATGACTAGAATCAATCCTATTTCAGACGGATGTTACAATATCGACAGAACACAAATACAAATATCAAATATCAAATACAGTGTGTATATAAATGCTTATACTGAATCTGTAAGTTTCTCTCTTCTGAGAATAGCGTAATCTCAAGTTTAAAGGTCAGTTTCTTCCACTTTTCATCATTCTCACTTTATCCTAAGTAAGGATATTTCTCCAATATTATACAAATCTTGGAGGATGTTTGCAACTGTATACTTGTAGATTCTGTCCCCCATTGTACCATTATACTCCATGGGTTTTCCTTTCATTCCACCGTTATACTCTATGACTCATAGGAGTAAACACCATGTCAGTCTTGGAACAGCCATCTTGCATCTATTTTCTACCTTCCATGTCTATTTCTAGATACTGTTTTTAGCCAACTGAGAACAGTGTACCTGATTCATGAAAAGAGCCTATAGGTTCTGATAAAAAAGGATTCACAATGAGATGGATTGATATAGTGGCTACAACAATGGGCTCATGTATAGTAATGATTGTGAGGATGGTGCCAGACCCACAATATTTTGTTCTGTTGTACACAGGGTCACTATGAGTTGGAACCTACTTGACAGGACCTAACAACAACAACAACAAAGACTCTGGTAAGGAGTTAGTAGGGACTACTCCCTATTGTCTGTTGACAAACATTGACGCTTGTATTATCAGCATAGCCCCTGAAGGCTTTTGCATTTGGGGTCCTTGGGTGAAAGGCTGAGTGGGAATATTTATTCATTTTCTAGGCCTTTTCAAGGTGCCAGCCATGGAAAGTTACCATTTCTAAAAGACAGTCTACGCTTTATTTCCAAAATGCTGCAAAACAAAAAAAACCCACACAGCCTTACCTTGGCATTCCGGAGGCACAGCGCTCCAGTTCCCAATAGCCAAGCATTGCAGCACATTAGCACCCACCAGGAGCAATCCTTCATCACAGGTGAAGCTGCAGGCTGACTGGTACCTGAAGGCACCAAAGGGGTGGGAGCAGTTCATTTGGGCCTTGTTGGGAGCCAGAAGATCTTGGCATTGCAGAGCTAAGGGTTGAGGAAGTAAGGAAATGGGGAAATAGTTATATACAAGTACTCATTCATTTTGATCCCTAATCTTTCCTAGTGCCAAGGACAGAGATCCTTAAACTGAGATAGTTTAGCCTAGAGGATGATAAAAGTGTTATTTAATTACAATAGCATATGAAAGATTTTATTGGGAAAATATTAAGTCCTTGTTGAACATTTTGGCAGAATCTATCAATAACTTTCCAAATATACTTTTGAACCTGAGTCTTATTTCTAAGAATCTATGCTATGAAGTACATATGCATACAAAAACCAGTTCAAAGATTTTTCTTATCAAGATGTTATTTGTAATAGAAAAATATGCTATTATCATTATTAATGATAGAAGTAGTAACAGTACTAGCAGTAATACCATTAAAACTATGTGTGGGATGCAGACCCTGACTGTCAGAGTGGAAAACATTAGGAAGGCCTATCAAAGGAGAGACTGAGACTACATCTTCAGATGCTTAAGTGAGCATCCAACTATTTATTCTGAATAGTTCTGTCTGGAGATAAGAATGGCTTGGATGATCCTTTATGGTCCCTGTTAAGCATGTAAAAGGGCTCTTGTGTCTTCCTCTTCCAGGTGATACACCTGCAATATATTACGTTGCCCTCACTAAGTCTCACTACCACAGGGCACGATAATCTACTACTTTGCTACCTCATTTAAGGTTACATCAGTGTAAACTTAGACACAGGGGAGTTACATAAATTACTTAGGGTTCCTAGTAGATGGCAACATGACATGCTGTTATCATTTCTGTGTGGAGTACCTCTTGTAAACAAATACTCCTAGACTCCCTGTGCCTGAGTTATCCTATAAGAGTAAAATATTGAAAATACAAAATATCGAAAGATGATCATTTTATAAAAAACAGACATGGACATATGATTTATAATATTATGTTATTATTGCCAGTATTTAACCTACATTTATAAAGCTTTTACACATATTGATTCACAACTACTAGTGAGGCAAATAGGTAAGGCAGGTAATTGTTGTTGTTATGAAAACCCATTGCCACTGAGTCGAATTCTGACCCATTGCAACTCTGTAGGGCAGAGTAGAACCATCCCTTAGGATTTCCAAAGCTACAGTCTTTATAGAAGCAGATGGTCACATCTTTCTCCTGTGCAGCTGCTGGGTGGGTTTGAACTGCCAACCTTTTAGTTAGCAGCCAAACAATTAACCACGGCACCACCAGGGTTCCTTTGTTATTGTTAGCTGCCATCAACTTGGCTCAGAACTCATAACAACCATATGCACAATGGGAATCAGAGTTTTCATTGGCTGGTTTTTGGAAATAGATAGCTAGGCCTTTCTTCCTAATCCATCTTAATCTGCCTGCTCCACTGAAGCCTGTTCGGAATCATAGCAACAACAAGCATCCACTGACTGATGGCTGGTGGCTGCTCATGAGGTGCACTGGCTGGGAATCAGGCCTGGGTCTCCTGCATTGGAAAGTGAGAATTCTACCACTGAACCACCACTACCCTCAAGGCAAGCGATAGTACCCTCATTTTATAGAGGAAGACATTGAACCTCAGAGGGATTAAAAGTTTGTTGACAGGAAATGTCAGAGCCAAGACTATGTGCCTCTTCCATTACTCTTCATCCCTCCTGTGCTGTTCCTCATGTACCATTCTTCCCCCCTCCCCATCTCCTTCATGCCGATCCATCTCATCTCATACATATTGATCAGTGCAACCCTCACCTTGAGTTTGTTGTAAGGACCATGTTGGACCTAAGAATGGTTTTTCACTATTTCATCCCTGGTACACAGTAGGTTCTCAGGGAGTATCTGATGGATAAATGAATGACAGTGCTAAAAAAAAGATGCCCATGTCTTCTGGGTAGCCAAAGACAAAAGGAAAATTTCAATGTCACTGTACCTTGACAGACTGGTGCTGGTGCTGTCCACTGTCCCAAGTCAGAACACTGAACCGTCTCAGCTCCTTTCAGAAGGAAACCCTTGGCACAATGGAAGCTACAGTTGCTGTTGTACTGAAATCCATGTGAGGACGGGGAACAATCCATACTTCCGTGGACAGGAGCCTCCACTGAGTCACATGCAATGGCTAAATGGAAAAGTTATTGTCTGAAAGCAGGTAATGGGAGGTCCCGGTTCTTTTCTAGAAGAGCCTCTCAGGGAGATGCCACATATTTTCTACCCACATTGGCAGTATGTTCAGGATATTAAATCCTTTTTTTTAAAAGCTCTGCCCAGAACACCTTCCCACGCCATGCTTTAGGTCTCAGTTTTGACTTCACTTTCTTAGGATGCTCACCTTTTCACCCCGAGAGGGGCAGGAAATCCTCCAATGTGCTCCCACAGTCCCCTGTCCTTGCTCTATTCACATGCTATTGTGTTATTTCTGTGAATATTATAGTCTGTTTGAGGGCTGGGGTAGGTCTTAATTGTATCCCAGAGCATAATATAGTGTTTGCTACATCAAACGTGCTCATTAAATATTTATGGACAGTATTTGTGGAATTCAATCTGGAAAGAGTAGATATTGGAAAAGGCTGGCTTTATAGGACCATGTGGCTTATTTTTGGCACTCTGTTACCTAGCTCTGTAGGTAATCCCCAATGAGCCTAATCAAGGTGTATGTCATCCTAATCAGACTTCAATTTCCAAGTGAGTGCAGCCCCAGTAAGTTCCTGAGTACAAGTAAACCCTGAGTGACCTCAGTTCTCACAGGATTGGTTTCCTTTTGCTCTTCCTTTAATAAAACATTCCATTTCCAAGCTGTTCCAGGGGTTTTGCAGGGTATAAAGACCACCTTCTTCTGCACCCTTGTGTGCATCCTGGGCTTGACTTCTGCTTTTTATGGAATCAGGGTGTTTTAGAACCTAAGATTCTCTAGCACGTCTCTCTTATTTTTACAAATGAGAAGAGTCAGGTTTGGAAATGTAAGTGGATTTCCCAAGGTGTCATAGATAGACAGCAGCAGAGCTGAGCTTGTAGTCGGGGTGTCCTGGAAATCCACTGATCCAGTCTTTAATTTCCTGCTTCTCTATTCCCCCTCTATAATTGCACAGAACTCAAATTCGTATATTATGCAATTGCCTACAATTAATGGTATTATGCAATTGCATCACAGGTTCTTTCTTTACTCAGTCTTCCTTTGCTCCTTTGTCAGGGACTTCTGTAGGCTATGAAGGGGCATCTCACTTTACCCTAATAGAACCACTTTGACTCCCTCTCAAGTTTAGTGCATTGTCCCATAGCTTCTACACATCAGTGGGGCAGGAAGGAAAAAGAACAGGTGTAGAATAAGGTTTATTGGATGCCAGCTCTATGCTATGTACTTTATACTTTCTAATTAATTGTGTACATTTTATATACTCAATTCTCATGCTCACAAACCAAACTCACTGCCATCGAGTCAATTCTGACTTGTAGGCACCCAAGTTGGGTCACAGTAAATCTTTATGGAAGTTGATTGCCCAGTCTTCCTTCCATGGAGAGGCTGGTGGGTTTGAACCACCAACCTTCTGGTTAGCAGTCAAATGCCTTAGGCACTATGCTAAGACCTTACAATTTTTAGCTCCATTTCACAGATGAGAAAATCATGGCTCTTGGAGGTTGAACATCTTGCTTTATTCCCAGAGCCTGGAGGTTGCCTCCCTGATTTTAAGAGGCCTTTGTCTTTCCACTGTGTCCTGTCTCCTTCCTAGGTAGGCTGGGGATGCTAAAGGGAAATCCTACCTTCACATGCTGGCATGGGTGCAGTCCACTGACCAGAGCCAATGCAGCGGAGAGTGTCCAAGCCCCTCACTTGATAGCCAGGTTGGCATTCAAATTTACAGGTGGAGCCATATGCAAAGGTAGCGAGTGGATGAACACAGTCCATGGTTCCTTTGCTGGGGGCTTCCAGGAGCTGACACTGCACAGCTGGGGAGAACAAACAAGGACAAAGAAAAAAATACTGAGGAAGGAAGAAATAACATGCCCACAGCTGGAAAACAAGTGTAGAACCACCTCTGGAGATTGATGTGGAACTAGGAAGCTCTAAGGCCTGAATGACATTTATCTAGACTTGGTACACTAGTCTGTCCTCAAAATGGTCCAAATTCCTTAAATATGTGGACTCTTTCAAGCTTTATTCTTAGTGTCCTCTAAACCTTATGTGTCTATAAGCCTGTCCCTGTAGATCTTCTAGCATCTCTTTACAGATGTATATGTCATCTTTTTTTCCTCTTATATGATATGGGTAATGTAAGACCATTATGGATTAGGTTATTCTCAACTGCTTGTGGGCTGTAAGTTTTAGGGCAAAAAACTAAATAAAACTCACTGCTGCTGAGTCAATTTCAACCCGTAGCAACTCCTCCTTGGGTTCCTGAGGTGGTATCTCTATGGAAGTAGATTGCCCAGTCTTCCTTCCAAGGAGTGGCTGGTGGGTTTGAACCACCAGCCTTCTGGTTAGCAGTCAAATGCCTTAGGCACTATGCCACCAGAGCTCCTTTTTTTATTTTTATTTTTTGTAGTCAAATCAGTCTCTTGTTTTTCTGGAACTTGACACTCATTTTCTATTCCAGATGTCTCCAGTCTAGCTGAGTGGCACATACAAGAAGAGTTGAATTTTGGTAATGCAAGCCGGCTTCTCCATGTGCTGAGCAGTCTCATCTGTACACTCAGAAAGGACTGGGGTGCAATGGACACTGTACTTCCTTAACTGTCTGGAACTCACCTTTACATACTGGGGCTGGGGCTGTCCACATCCCAGAGGCAGTGCACTGCACCTCTTCTGCCCCAACTAGTGTGAATCCTTCTTCACAATGGAAGCTACAGCTGGACTGGTGCTGGAGTTCTTCTGAAGAGGGAAGACAGGCCATGCTTCCTCGTTCAGGAGTCTTCAGGGGTGGACAGTGGGTGGCTGAAAACAACCAGAGAGCAATGCTATGAGCCCTTGGTTATGTTCAACACCTTGTAATCCCAAGTTTCTGTGGCAACTAGATTTTCCCAAAGTAACAAACTAGGTGATGGACATGGGTAGCCAAATGATACATTCAATAGCTAGATGGAAAGATCCAAATATGCTTATTTTTAACTTACTTTTTTAAAAAATCCAGTAAAAATATCAAATTTATAGTACTCAGTGCCCAACTCCTCATTATCTTACTCTGCTTTGCAACTAATAAAACCAAAAACATACCTTCCCAATGGTTTTGTCTGAGAAGGAAGAATTAAACTAGTTACTTTGCTTTGAAGATACAAAATACCATGGAAATCAAGATTAGTGTTACTCTTTTTGAACCTTGAAAACATTTTGCTGAGTGAAATGAGTCAATCACCAAAAGACAAATATAGTATGATTTCACTTAAATGAAACTCTTAAAATAGGCAAATACATAGATATCAGAGTTTAACAGTGGTTACCAGGGGCAAGAAGGAAGGGAATGAGGGAAAACTTTTTCTGGTGAGCACTGAGTTTCTCTTAATGGGAATGGAAAATATGGCAATGGATATTGGTGATGGTTACACATCATTGATGTCATTGGTTTCACTGAATTGTTAAAGTCACAAATGCTCAATTGGCAAATGTATTATCTATATTTTTTACAACAATAATAAAAGAAAAAGTAGTGTAACTCTGATTGACAGGTAATAGAAATTAGCAGAATTTTCCACCTAACTTGCATCCTCATCATTTCTCACAGTTTTAGTGGAGAAAGCTCAATTATTCCCTTGAAATTCTGTCTGTCCACAAGAATAGAAAGAATAGACACTACACACCTACACACTGTGGGGGTTTATTTGTCCAGTTTCCAGAAGCCAAACATTCCAGTTTGCTGGGTCCCTTCAATGTGTATCCTTCAGTGCAGTGGAAGTTGCACTGTGAGTTGAAAGAGAAATTTCCCAGAGGGTGGCTGCAGTTCATCAGCATGTATTGAGGTAGATCTAATTCTCCACACTCCCTGACTGCAAGGGATAAAATAATAATTTTTTTTTTAGTTGTATACTTAAAGACAAGGTCAAATTTGCTAAAAGCTGACTCTTTGTCACTATCCTAACTCTCTTTTTCTCTCTTTTTTAAATTTTTATTGTGATTTGGGTGAAAGTTTATAGAGCAAATTTACTTTTCATACAGCAGCTCATATACACTTTGTCTCATGACATTGACTGCAATTTCCCATAATGCAACAGCTCTCCACCCACTTCCTCCCCATAGTTACCTCTTTTCTGTGCCTTTCCTTCTCATGCACTCCTGCCTGCTGAGCTGTTTCCCCATCTATACACAGCCCTTCTGTTCTCCCATGATTGATCTCTCCAAGGAGTGTATCTACCTAATGTAAATGTTCAGCTCATATCCCTGTCTTTTGCTTGTCTGGAAGCCACAGGAGTGGGTTCAATTCCAGACCTGAAGGGAAGCTAGAGGCTATTGTCTCAGGGGTTCCATCAGGCTCTATCAGACCAAAAAACCTGGTCCCCCCTTTTTGTTTTTTTAATGATTTTGAGTTTTGTTCCACATTGTTCTCCCACTCTATCCAAGATCTCCTACATAGATCCCCCTCCGACTAACTCTATCTTTTTAGTCTCCAACCCTATCCACCCATCTTTACTTGATCCCTTTGTATTGGCTGCCTTTAGGGAAATAATCATTTTTTTACTGACCTTTAGTTAAAACAAGTAAAATGAACCCAAAAGGATTCTCTTTGGTTTACTTGCTTTATTTTTCCTTTTTGAAATCTTTATGAGCATATGTTTTCTCCAAGGATAGAAACGTTTTACCCAGAGAGCATATCTAGGAACAATTGACTGGGGCAAACAGACAGATTATTGAAGGCACCTGGGTCTAGCCTAGGTGACCCAGGTCACCCACCAGAGAATCTCTGCTTCATTTACATTCTGGCATCATCTTTAGAACAAGACCAAAGACCAGAATGACATCAACAAAATCGTTTCCTCACCATATTCACATTCTGGTCCATAGAATCCAGGGTAGCAGGAACAGGTGTAGTTGCTGATGGTCTCGATGCACTCTCCCTGCTTGCTGCAAGACATGCTCTGGCAGGAGGCTGAATGAAGTGGAAGGGTCAGAATTATGAACATTTGTTGGACATGTTTTTCCACGCCACAGATTCAGATCTGTTTGGGTAGGACTAAGTTAGCCAGACAACAGAGAACCACAATGTCCTCTGGAGATCCAACCTGTTCCTGTGAAAGCTATCATGACAGCCTGTTGGGGCATTACATGGCTTCTATTTCCATGCTGCATTTACTGTTTCCTAAGAAGAGAGTGGCTCTATGTGGACATGAAGGGACAAATAAAGCCATCGGTAGATGTGTGGATAGAGAAACTCTTCCATGTGGCACAAAATAGGTTCTGATTTTTTAACCAAGAGTATTCCTAAAGTATGACTATCCTAGAGAAGGAAAATAGAGGGTCAGTGAAAAAGGGGGAGACCTTCAATGAGATAGACTGACATAGTGGCTACCACAATGGGCCCAAGCATAGCAAATAGTGTGAGGATGGTGCAGGAGCAGGCAGTGTTTTGTTCTGTGTATGTTGGGTCACTATGAGTCAGAGCTGAATCGATGGCACCTAACAACAACAACAACATTCATAGAGTTGGATTATTACAGAAGCCCCTGTCATAGATGTTACAGTGTGGAAGTTAAGAACAAGACATGGGGGTCACACAGATATAATCTGAATCCTGGATCTGCTGCATTACTAGCTGTCTGACCTTAGGCTAGTTATTTCTCTGAGCCAATTTTGCCCAATTTTAGGACAAAAGTCCTTGCGCACTTTATTTCAAATCTATGCTCAATACCATACGGGGAGAGAAGCCAAATGAGATGTTTAAGACCTACTCATGATAAAGGACAATAAATTACAAACGATGTTTCAAGGATGTAAATATGCTAGGCTGAGATGGTGTGGACCATGGCTGACCTGCTGGTCCTTTCTCACTAAGTCTGTGCCAGACAGAGTAAAGAAGATCTAAGGTTTCTTTTCTGCGAGAGAAGAGGGTGTATGCTCTTGGTTGTTGTTGTTTGCCGTCGAGTCGGCTCCAGCTCATAGCGACCCCTCCTTGGGTTTCCGAGGCAGTATCACTACGGAAGTAGGACTGCCCAACCTTCCTTCCGAGGAGTGGCTGGTGGGTTTGAACTACCAGCCTTCTGGTTAGCAGTCAAGTGCCTTAGGCACTATGCTACCAGAGCTCTTGGTAGTTGATTAGTATTTAAACTGATACTGTGAAAGATGTTTTTACTCATAAGGTCACAGGCAGGGGCAAGGTCTATGGCTGGACAATTTTCTGGTGTCTATTTCTCTTGCACTAAGCCTTGGTCACACATTGGTTCACTTTGGGGTAATTATAAAAGGAAATCCACATGTTGCATTGAGAGTTGTGCTAGAGTATCGCTCTTTTCCCTGAACTCTGAGATACTAAAATCATTCTTTCACTGGCCTTTTGTTAAAACAAGTAAAAGGAACCCAAAAGGATTCTCTTTGGTTTACTTGCTTTATTTTTCCCTTTTGAAATCTTTAGGAGCATATGTTTTCTCCAAGGATAGAAACGTTTTACCCAGAGAGCATATGTGCAAGGATCTGCAGGAGGAATGTTCCACTGAATGAGGTGGTAAGAAGCTGCAAGATAAAGGTTTAGTTCATATCTACCATTCTATTTCCTAGCCCCCTGTTTTTGGTCCTACCCTCTCTTATACTAGGGGCCTGCTGTTGTTACCTGCCGTCGAGTCGGACCCGACTCATAACAAGCCCTCCTTCGGTTTCCGAGGCAGTATCACTACAGGAGTAGATTGCATAGTGGCAGAAAAGGCTCTGGATTTAAAATTTAGGAGACTGATTACTAATCCTAATTTTGCTTCTATCCTGCTATAGGACCATGAGAAAAAAAATTCCCTGAGTTTCCATTTCATCATGTGTAAAATAGAAAGGGTGGGCTGGGTGATATAAAAATTTCCTTTTAGTTTCAGAAGCCCATTTTTCTCTAATCTTGATCTAATATTCCTCAAGGTATACTCAATAAATTCAGTTTACCTGGTGATGCAGTGGTTAAAGAGCTTGGCTGCTAAACAAAAGGTCAGCAGTTTAAACTCACCATCCATGGAAGAAACATGTGGCAGTCTGCTTCTGTAAAGATGACAGCCTAAGAAACCCTAAGGGGCAGCTCTAATCTGTCCAATAGGGTCGCTATGAGTAGGAATTGACTTGATAGTAACTGATAATCGTTTACCCATTGTTTTCATCCCCCTGACTTTGTGACTCCATTTAATTGACTCAGTGCTTCCTTTAACCAACTAGTGAAGCCATTTAAAAAGAAAAGAAGGACAAAATTCAGAGGAGTAAAGAAGACCTTGGAGTCCCTGGGTGGTGCAAATGGTGTTTGCTTGGCTGCTAACTGAAAGGTTGGAGGTTTGAGTCTACCCAGAGGTGCTTGAGAAGAAAGCCTTGCTGATCTACATTCAGAAAATCTTCTACTGAAATCCTATAGAGCACAGTTCTACTGAGACACACATGGGTTCACTATGAATTGACATTGACTCCATGGCAACTGGCTTGTAAGAGAAGACCTTACCAGTATAGCATAGGGCCCGCTTTTTTTTCCAGCAGGGCTCATCATTCCACTTGCCAGGGGCCGATAAGCTCTTGATGTAGATTTCCACGCAGTCCTGTTTGTTCTGCTTGTTGTTGGGCTCATTTTCAGCCCAGTTCTTGGCATCCTCAGTGAGAGTCTTGTTGGTTCCCACCCAAGTCCAAGTGTTATTGATCTTTCGGATGCCAATCCAGTAGTAAGATTTGTAGAAAGGTATAAAATCATTGAGGTAAGCAATTTCATTTTTATTCTGGATGGCCACTAAATCTGTGTAGTACTTCCGGCAGAATGCCCGGGAAACATTCCATGTATATGCATTTGTGCTGTGATGATACGTCCAAGCTGCCACTTCTCTTTGGTTTATTAGTTCTAGAGTAAAGAAAAGTGAGTGCCAGGTTAGTATCACAGATCAGAAGGAGGCTGTGATTGTTTAGTATGCTTGTCTGTAGTCCAATGAATTTCTGACCAAAGACAAATACCCAAAACATGACTATTTTATGTCTAATATAGTTTTAAGGAATAAGAGTGGATTTTTATATTTACTTTTAGTGTACATAAAGTCAGAATAAGAAGTATCCCCTTCTAAGGATGTTTGGTATTAAAGATTTGGAATCATGAGTTAAAAGTTGGAAGGAACTTCAGAGCTCATCTAATCTAATCCCTTCCTTTTATAAATGACCAAAACCAAACCAGTTGCCGAGTTGACGCTAACTCAATGAAAACAAAACCAACCAATTGCTATTGAATTGATTCTCACTTATGGCAACCACGAGTGTGTCCGAGTGGAACTGCACTCTGTAGGGTTTTCAATGACTGATCTTCAGAAGCAGATCACTGAGTTTTTCTTGCAAGGCCCTTCTGCGTGGATTTAAACTACCAAACTTTTGGTTAGTAGCCAAATGCTTAATAATTTGTGCCACCCAGGGACTCCTAACTCAAAGAAAGAGGCATTGTAATTTGTCCAAGCCTAAGCTAAATGACACATAAAATGCCTTTATGGCTGTCTTGGATCTACAGGTTCTACCTTTAGCATGAAAATAAGATGCTTTATGACCTGGAACATACCTCCTGGCCCAGTCTCGTGTTGTTGTTGTTGTTGTT